ATAAAATATGATTACATTACCATATATTCTATAAATTATTCTTTACAAGATAATGAATGAAAAAAAATCTTTATAAAATAACATAAAAAAAATATTAAGCTCAAAATAATTTTCATAGTAAAGTAATCAAATTTCAAAATAATGAAATAGTAATATAATATTAAGCTCAAAATAATACGATAGTAATATAATATTAAGCTCAAAATTATTTTTAACAATATTACAATTTCAAATCAAGAAAGCCCCCTGAAAGAAAAAATTAAAATCTTTTTCAACAACAATCAGTAGCGATGATCTGGAAATTCTTTTTCACGTGCAACGGGAATAACGATTCGTCTCTCCGGGTCATTGGTACTGGTTGTTGCTCAAACATATTTGAATGATGTTGTATAATGGAGACAGTCAAAGTTCGCATCGTTTACGACGTCCTTAACTGTTCATCTATCATGCAACACTGCAAGAATGCTACGGTCCTTTTTCTCACACCACCAAAACAATTGGATTGTTGTATCAAATGTTAAAGTGGTGTGGGAGGAGGATCGTAGTTTTCTTGTAGTGTTGTATGATAGTTGCACATTTAAGTACGTAACGGTGCTAACTTCGATTGTCTCTATTAAAGAATATCATTCAGAAATTTAAGCAATAATATCAATCACGATAATAATATTCGACAACTCATTCGAAGAACTACGTGGACTTTGATTCCTCATATAAGGGATGCGTAGGCATCTTAATTGACTATATCCTCGGATATTTACTAAATGTCAATTAAGCTCAAGTCCATATTTAAATATAATTACTTAGAAAACCTTTTATCCTCATTCTAAAACCTTACATAAGTTAACTTCGACTATCTTCATTATAGAAAATCATTCAAAATTTAAGCAATAATATCAATCACACCAATGATGTCATGCCCACAATCTTCATTGTGTATCATGGACTCATGGTTCCAACTCTCTTATAGGCCTCTAATATCGCAGTATATAGAGCGATGACACAGATCGCCATACAAATTCTTCAATATGCCTTCAATATATTGCTCTATTGTAGGCGCAAGAGAGAAGAAGAAACATGATGCACAATAGAAGTTGTGCGCATGACATCATTGGCGTAATTCATGTTATTGCTTAAAAAAACAAATGCCTTAAAAAACAAATGTCTAACATTTTAGATATCGTGACCTTCAACAAAAAAAAAACGGCTAATATTCGAGACATTTTGTAAAAGAACTACGTGGACTTTGGTTCTCAATATAAGGGATACGTAGGCACCTTCATTGACATATATTTCAAGATTTAGTAAATGTCAATTAAGCTCAAGTCCATATTTGACATACAATAAAAGTACAATTTTTTTCACAAATGAATGGAACTACTGGATAGTAGTATCAAACTACTGTGAAGTGCTGACGACTCGATTGCAGGCTTACCATTGCGTTATTTTGCAATGATTTCGTCGAAATTGAGTTAGAATTCAGATGTTAAGTAAGTATCTATAAGCGTTTTGTTGTTTGTGCCATTGCAGACGAAATCTAATCTTCAAATTGTAATACATAATGAAGAATATTGACATGGTATCATTGTCCGAAATTGAGTTCATATTCAAACATTAACGACATGTACGACTGTGATGTCACGTCAATAGTCTTTATTATGTATTATGATTTAAATGATAAATTACGGCAACGATACCACAAACAATAGAACACATATAGGTGCTTACTTATCGTCTGAATCTTAACTCAATTTCGATGAAATGATTGCAAAATAACGCAATGGTAAGCCCGTAATCGAGTCGCCGACACTTTACAGTAGTTTGATACCACTATCCAGTAGTCCTAGTGATTTGTGAAAAAATCACTAGGTAAAAAACAAATGTTTAATAAAAAAACAAATGCCTTATAAAACAAATGTCTAATATTTGAGATATCATGACCTTCAAGTTCAACAAACAAATGCCTAATATTCGAGACATTTGGTAAAAGAACTATGTGGGCTTTGATTCCCCATATAAGGGATACGTAGGCACCTTAATGGACTATATCCTCCGATATTTATTAAATGTCAATTAAGCTCAAGTCCATATTTAAATATTATTATATAGAAAACCTTTCATCCACCTTCGAATACCTTACCAATTTCTCTGTATGTTGGGGTTCATCAGCGTCATCATGCAATCCGACTTCAATACACAATCTCGAGTAATATCGCAATTCCTTTGTAGTGTCATTAAAAAAACACGTTATAACATGGAAGTTGTCCATGTTATCATCTTTGTTGTACAAGATGTTTATACTATCACTACACATATGTGAAGTGTTTATGCAAGTGTGAGATGATGGTATAAACATATTGTACGGCAAAGATGATAACATGGACAACTTCCATTAACTAACATGATTTAGGACACTAGCAAAATAAACGGCGATGTTACTGGAAACTGTGTATTAGAGTCGAATTGCATATGACGTTGATGAAACTTAACATACTAATAAATTAACTTATATGACGTTTCAAATTACATATAATGACATGAGGGATGAATCAGTTACGCTCGAATAAATGAAAACCTGGACACGTAGGAGGACGCCATTAAAATTTCTCAGTGCTGATGCCACTAGACGCTTTCAGAGAGGCGCTCAAGCCCTGCAAAATAAGCTTATCGTCCTCCTTGAAAACTAAACGCTTTCAAAGAGTCCGATAAGCTTATTTTGCAGAGCTTGAGCGCCTCTCTGAAAGCGTCTAGTGACATTAGTACTAAGAAATTTTAATGGCTTCCTCCTTCTTTTTAGGTTTTCATTTATTCGAGCGTAACCGCTTCATCCCTCATGTCATTCTCTATAATTTGAAACTAATAAGCAAACCGGTCCTAACGTTGTAAACGATCCTAACTTTGACTGTTTTTATTATAGAACATCTTACAAAATTTAAGTTATAATAGAACTACGTGGACTTTGATTTCCAATATAAGGGATACTTAGGCAACTTAATTGACATATATTCTCAATATTTGGTAAATGTCAATTAAGCTCAAGTCTATATTTGACGTTCAACAAAAGTACAATTTTTTTCACAGTAGTATCAAACTGCTGTGAAGTGCCGACAACTCGATTGCGGGCTTACCATTGCATTATTTTACAATCATTTCGTCGAAATTGAGTTAGAATTCAAATGTTAAGTAAGTATCTATAAGTGCTTTGTTGTTTGTGGTATTGCAGACGAAATTTAAAGTTCAAATTTATAATACATAATGAAGAATATTGACATGGTATCATTGTTCGAAATGAAGTTCATGTTCAAACATTAACGACATATACGACTGTGATATCACATCAATAGTCTTTATTATGTATTATGATTTGAATGATAAATTACGGTTGCGATACCACAAACAATACAACACATATAGGCACTTACTTATCATTTGAATCCTAACTCAATTTCGATGAAATGATTGCAAAATAATGTAATGGTAAGCCCGCAATTGAGTCGTCGATACTTCACAGTAATTTGATACCACTATCCAGTAGTACTCCTAGTGATTTGTGAAAAAAAATTGTCATGACCTTAAAAAACAAATGTCTAATAAAAAAAAACAAATGCCTTATAAAACAAATGTCTAACATTTGAAATATCATGACCTTGAAGTTCAAAAAAAAAAAAAAATGACGTTGATGAAACTCAACATACTGATAAATTAATTTATTCGGACTAAGTCTTCGTAAAAATGATCTACTATTAACACAAACCCGTTTGTATCCATTTTCAGCATTCTAGAACATCATCAAGACTGTTTGTTTTGAGAAAGTCATAGAAGAGTAGGTGATTGATAAGGTGTCATTTTCGAACTACACGGTGTCGAATTATATTGATTTGGCGGAAAGGTATCTCCGGTTTCAGCAACCTTGGTCGGTCGAAGGAATCATCTTGAGAACCCGTACACCGACACGGGTTGCGGAAAGCATATATATCTCTTCGCCAAATCGATGTAATCCGGCACCGTTTCGCCCCCAAAATATCACCCTATCATTCACCTCCTCTTCTATGACTTTTAACAAAACAAACAGTCTTGATGAAGTTTTATAATGCGGGAGATGGATACAAACGAGTTTATGTTAATACTTTGAGTTCTTGCTCGATCTACAAATATGTATTTTAATTTTTAATGTCAAGTAAAGTATAAAAAGAAAAAAAAAAAAAAA